GCCTGCCACGAAATCTGCACATCGAGATTCACAAAGTGCTGCGCCTGCCACGAAATCTGCACATCGAGATTCACAAAGCGCTGCGCCTGCCACGAAATCTGCACATCGGAGATCCAAAATGAGCAAATTGCACGAGGCTTTCGCAAATTTTGAAATGCGTTTCAGAAATGCTGTGCCTGCCACGAAATCATGCCTGCAGGTCATACGAAATGCTGCACTGGCCACGCAAAAGCATCCTCAAGTTCAAATTCCAAAAATGCGACCCCTCTCACGAATTCAGCCGTTTCACCTCAAAATATCGCATCCATGGTGCGGATTCCCTGCGCCTGCCACGTGAAACGCAATCCTGCGAATGACACACGCCTGCCAACGTTTTTGCAACGTCCACAAAACACTGCGCCTGCCACGAAATTTGCAAAGTCTCCGATTCCTTGCACCTGCCACGTAAAATGACCTTTTCGAGGCTCCAATGTGTCGAATTCCTTGCGCCTGCCACGCAAAATGCACTTCATGTCCGAAAACGAGCACGGCACCTGCACGAGAGCTTTGTCCCGGAAGCGCGAAAGGCGCGGCCCCCACTTTATGCGAGCCTGCGCAGTCGAAATGGACATGAGGAATTCAAAAAGTAACTTTTGTGCGAGCCGGCCCACGCAAAATGCCGGGGCCACACGCGCGAACCCTGATCTAAACCGGCTTAACTCTTACCGTAAGAACCCCTTAGTGCGGAGCACTATTTGGGGAAATATGATGAAATATGTTCCTTCACACATCCAAGTTTTCCTACACATTTCTTATCAACCAGGAGACCACTTATAGACAACCTTTTTTTGTTTCTTGACGCGTCGTTTTACACGTCGCAGGAGCCGGCGCTCCATGAGCTGTTCAAGACCTGACTTAGTGGTCGTGGTTTTTGGGGTCATGGTTTGGCGGATCGTGTCATTTGTGATTTTGCCTGAACTGTCCATGCGGTTTTGTAGCTATACCAACGGAATGGCCTGGTCTTTCAAAGATCAATGCATGTGCATGCATGTGCTATCTTCTGGGGTGGTTATAGCCATTATATAATATATTACTATTGGGTTAGTTTGAATTTGGGGATTCTCTTTTGGGTGCACTGGGATGATCGGTCGCACCACGGTATGTGCACGTATATTATATAACAATGTCATAATAATGTCATGCATGTTTTTTTGCAGGGCTTGTTGGTTGCTGGTTGCTAGAGACAATATAACCTTCTCCAGGAGATTGCATTATTTAATGTGGCATAGGCATAGAGCTAGGATGTACGGCAGGTGCTGCTGTTGGTCAATTCCGGCGAATTGTGACCCCACATTATTGTTCACTTTCTTTGTGGCCAAACCCACTCAAGACTCAAGACAACTCTCGTGATGTCTAGCATGTCGATTCCAGTCATCAAAAAGATCCAATTTAACGAATCACAAACCATGCCATTGTTCAAACATGCGTCATTTTTTCTGAGATCCTTTTGCATTACAGCACTGAAAAACACAAATAATCTCTGTCCATGACCTGAATCTGCAGAATTTTCAGCGTTTGGGGAGTTCTTCCTCAATTGTCTTGGTGTGGTTCGGATGGTTTGGGTGTGCATCTCTTGGAAATTTCAATGGAGGAAGACCTCTTCAGAGCTGCAGTTGAGCCGCTGTAGGAGCGGATCGACGATGAGAGTCTTGCCAACAGAGCAGACTCCGACTGCCGCCTCCATGCACCGGCGGATGCTTCTCACAGGCTGTGACATAGACATAGATGGCCAATTCTACTTGTTGTTTGGTTGATCCATCGAGGGAATATCCCCGGTCGTTAACAAGCAATAGGTAAATGGTACTAGACCGACCCCTCTATTCTTCCCACAAGGACATCACTGCAACCTGAGCGCTCACTTCCATACTCATGTTGATCAAGCCCCCAAATGAGAGCGGATTCTTGGAGTGCTTACTGTACCCTGAGACCATCCAAAACAATGTCAATATGTGAGTTACAAAGTGAGTTCCAATATAGCTAGGTCGGATTAGGTTGGTAGGTAGAACAAAATCAGCTTGCAGCCTACTTGGGCCTCGCGGAATCGTGCGCTGTTTTCAACTGAGAGCTGCTCCCTTCGTTGGCCATCTGCGACGGTGCGATGGAGACTGCGACCGGCGGAAAATGGACCACTGGGTGGTTCGTTGTTTTGTGTCGCCGACGAGATGGAAGGACGTTTTGTTTGCTCACATGTATGGAATATATGCCTACATTGACCCCCCAAACCACCCCAATGTAGACATATATGATACATGGAGCGTCTGGGATATATAATGCGGGATTCGACCGGAGTCCTTGGCCGTATTTTTGATGTGAACGGCACGGCTACGTGGCTTGAGACTCACGAAAAAAACCACCCACCACAACCAGCGCCCCAAGGTCGTGGCCTTCTTCCTGCTTGTGACTGGCCTGACGATGGTCCTGCATGGGCGCCTGTTCTTTCCTTTTTTTGATGGCAGATATGGCAGCCATGGGTTTGCAGGAGGCAAGCTGGGGGGACTTGGGACAGTCATAGGTTTGGTTGAGAGGCCGTGAGACATTCCATGTTTATATGTTTTTAGACACCCTTCCCATGTTTTCACATTCTGAGTACATGCCGAGGATGTACAGACAGGCACGCATGTAGTAGCAGGCGTGCCATTTAAAGGGCAAATATGGGGGAACCGGTTCCAGGGCTCATCCGAGGCTCAATGCCGTTCTGGACCACAACGAATTACCACACTGGATCTCAGAAGACCACAGAACACCCAAAGGAACACCCAAAGGAACACATCAAGCACAACGAATACAATAACATAGAATCATATAGATTATAGATGCTACAAAGACACCCAACTCCTAGAAGAACGAGCACGGCACGTTTACGTGGAAAACCGTCTCTTCCCTAAGGCGCGCGTTCTACCGTCGCCGAGACCGCAGAGAGCGATCGCAGACCAAGCGGTCGAGCAAAGAATGCTCCTCTACCAGAGCTTCTTCTGGGAGCGGACGTGGCGCGTGGCGCGTGGCGCGTGGACCAGTGGCGCGTCCAACAGCGTCCCAACGGTCTGTGGGCAGTGCTTGGGCAGTTAAACACAGCCTTATGTGGTCAACTTGAATGATACATCAATTGCTTTATGTGGTCATCATTTGGATCATTTGGTTTAAGGGGATGAGATGAGCTTGTACCTGTAGACAATTTGCTGTAGGGGACGGGGATGATGCTTTAAAGAGAGTTCGGTAGATCCATACTCGAACTCGTGGGATGCTTTGAGACTTGGAGCCACTTCTTTTTCTCACATTCTGAGGTTTTCAGTTTCACACTTCGAGGTGTGAAAAGCATCAAGGCCCTTCCATTTCTTTGAAGGCCACCCCGTATACCTTGCGTGTCAATTCCAAAGAGGAACGAGAGTCTAAGAGATGTGGATGGCCACTTGTTGGTTCTCTTCTTTTGATTTTCTGAGCCATACCGCCATACCATAGTCACACCGACCCCGATGTATGCCACTGTTCTATCCTTGTCACTCTTGTTACCTCTCGGCATGTCCTTCGTTTGTGGTGCGTGTCCTTCGTGGTGACAGGAGCTTCTGCAGCTCTGTCCCTGGCGAAGGCGAGATGTTCAGCATGTGACGCGCGCGCGCATGACACGCGAAGCCAGAGAATCAAAACCTGCCACTTTCCCTAGTTTTGTGACAGTTCGTAGATTTGCAGGACATCAGTTGGTCCATCAGTGGAATTATACCTAATTAAGTGGATCTCGGCAGGCAGCATGGCCCAAAGCTGCAAAACCTGGAGGTTGATTTTGAGGTAGTCCTGTTCATGTTCGCGTCATCTCCGCCGTTCGTTCATGGGGTCGCAACCAGGGTAGTGGATGGGTCTTTTAAGTCTGTAAAGCCATTTGTGGTGGTGTCCAAGCACCAAAAAGAAGACGACACCTCCATGAACTCTGTACTAGGGGGCGGTTTCTTCCTAAATGATTCGATCATGACTTAGGAGTCTTAGGAGGTCTTATATACCTGTACCATCCAATGGGTGTCCTGGTTGGAGATCCTTAGGTAGTGTGGGGTAGTCCAGCCAGGACACCCAGACAGGATGGTCCTGGTAGGAGTGTTGGTTAAAGATATGGAATTGCTAGTACCAAGAACCGACAGATGGCTTGGAAAAGATCAAAGGCGCTGGACAAAACATGTTTTTGTGGACGCCCGGCGCCACCAGGTGGTACAAGTTCCATAAAGTTCCAACCATCATTGACATTGATTAATGGTTCTTACAGTTTTCACCGAACAACTATTGAAACTATACTCAGGATTTTAGAAGACCAGTTCACCCACGTTTTAAATGGTCGAAGCGAAAGACGATGACTACACCACTTGCCACTTCTAGGCGGCGCTGGAAGTTTGCGACCCTTCTCCTCCAGATCAGGCCTGGCCAGTTTGAAACGCTTCTGACGGCCATCATGCAGATCAGATCTATCTCATAAGTTATATTATAAATTATCTATAGGAAGATGTGGGAGACTGAGAAGACGCATTCCAATGTTACCCAGGCCCCCTTCCAGTAGTGGCTGCCTAAGATGCATTTTAGATCATATCATACCCAGTTGGTCTTCTGACACCAAGACCTCATGAATGCCATCAGCCATTGCCACGGATGAGGTGTGCCTAAGACCCTCGTCGCGGAGCCCAAAGGGAAAGCTCAGACGGACTTGAGGACTTGAACTCAACGTAGCTCAAAGTACTGTGGTTTCAGAGTACTGTAGATGGCACTGGCGGCACTGGCACCCCAAGATTACTTTTAGATGAGGGTCTATATAAACCACCTTTTGGGCATTGTGCCATCTACTCTCAAGCCACTGTACCTCCAACAGGGAGGACCTTCGGGCAGTTCGACTGGAACCCCTAGGTCCTGTAGGTTCAACATCTGAAAGATTACACTCTTGTTGGGGTCCAAATGGATGCCTCCAATTTGGGCAGATTCCAGCAACTGTCATCCACAGCTTTGCACTCCTCCCATGTCAGACGGCACGTCGACCTCTTCAGGGGGGGGGTCGTGCACTCCTCCAGGTTTGGCCTCCGGAGGAGAGTTCTCAGCGCTCAGAAGCGCCGCAGGTCAAGGACAGCGACCTGCGTACGGCGCAGTGCGTCCGTTTTTGCGGTAGCGCGGGCGGCTGCCAAGCACTGAGTGGAGAGAGTGGAGTTGATTGGTTGGACATGATCTTGGTGATGTTCGTAGTGTGCTTGACATATATATATATAGATAATTCATTTATTTTATATTCCTTTCTGGTCTGGTGACCCTTCAGCTTAGGTTGGTTTCGTCTTCTTTCGTATATTCATGGCAGGTTTAGAAAGATGGAAGGGTGAAGCTGTTCAGCTCCTGCACTGAGAGGTTGTGTTGAGTAAGATGTGGATGGAAAATTGATGTTTTATTGAAGAAACACTGTCATTTCAAGTCGAAAGTCGCCACATCCAGAGTTGTTCGGTTGTGATTTCATCAAGTACTACGTTACAATTCAACAGCATCCTTGAGGAAAGCACTTGAGTCAGTTGTTTGCAGTGGCTACAACAGTTGTTTGCTCTGCAAGGGGTACTTGAAGAGCAGCTCATTGTAGCTGGTTGGCTGAACACGGAACAGGGGTTGGACAGCAAACAAAAGCACAAGAATCATCATGACTCAACTTATCCTATCTTATCCTGAGGGGCAGTTAACTTACTTTGTCAAGATGGTTTTAGCGGCTTAGGAGTTCCACGGACCGTCGACGGACATGGGATGGGGACGGAAGGACGCCTCGAGAGTTCGCCCGATCTCAGGAGCGTCAGGAGGTGGTTTTCTCAGAAAAACAGATCAATCAATACTAAGGATTTGGGATGATCTGGCACACTTTCGGATCGAATTGTTGGTAGGATCTATTTGAGGATTGGACGTATTGTTTGAGTCACTTCAGAATGAAGATTTGATCCAGCACAACCTAATCACAGGGATTCATCACGTGATTGGGATTACTATATATGTAATGGGATGCGTGTCCATTATCCACATATCATTGATATGTCAAAATACAAAAAATAAGAAGAACACTTCCAGGCATTCCAGTGGGTCTGCAGGTCTCCCGTAACTTGTGAGTCTTGTGGTGTCTACCACGTCCGTGACCGTTCTCGGGTCCAGGACCATCCGAATCGGAGGTCATTTCATCCCAGTGACTTCCATTCTCTGGAACATATATAACGTACTTACCTGCAGTTCGATCCAAAGTAGGGAGGTACCTGGGAGATACCTGAGTCGTAAGATACCTGAGAGCATCATTCCTAACACGAGAAATCGGCCCCGCCGCACTCAGGAGAACCGCCGCACGGAAATCAGCCTGTAGGCTTTGCGACCCGAGGATGAGAGAGTTTCTGGGCACCCAGAGTCGGACGTGCGGAGAGGATGAGGGTCTCTTTGATGGAGACAGAATGATCAACGGATGCTCCGATGGAGGAGAGACGGGAACCACACAGCAACCAGTGATGTGAGGTGTTTGTTCGACTGGATGCTGCGATGATTTGGGTTTAGTACCAGCAGTACCCATTATCCACTCACTTAGGGACTAAACACCACCCCTTTGTGGTAATTTGATGTAATTTGGCAACCAGTCTGGCAACCTGTGGGAGAAACATCTGCAAAAAAGGATCACGACAGTACGTACCTTGCTTTTTTTGGACCACCTGCCCCATCGAAAGAAACCATGCAGAGCCTCATTTAGTCCAATAGAGCACTAGCATCAAGTTCCCAGATCTAGGTTGACATGAGGATTGGACCAAATCAATGATTTGCATCAAGTTGGTTCAAAATGGAAAGAGGTATTCCAGGGGCTACGTATCTCCCCTCACCATCCCAGGGTTGGTCTCTCAGTTGCCAGAGATTTGGTCCGTCACTCACACTTTTCTTGCCAGACATCCTCGCATCATCAAAAGCTACCCATCCTACGAAAAGTGTGGTCGCTCTCCTAGATGCCACTCATTGGTTCTTCTCGCATTCGCCAGCCCACCTGCCCTTTTCAACATGGGTGACGTGGGCCTGGCGCGCGAAAGCTGGCATCGACTTAAGCCATGCAGGTTGTTCTCTTGGCGCGGTCAGAAGGACTTATTGCCACACTCACTGGACCTACAAGGTCCTCTGAACAGGTTTGGTTCAACAGTTTCCTGTGGTACGTAACTTGGGGAGGGCAACCTTTTGTTTGGCGCGTGCTTGTGTGACAATATGACACTTGTCAACAGCGGGGGGCACAAACGACCGAAGCCAGATGTTGCGCTTGAACACTCTTTGGATCGGCATCGGATCCCAACGATGACATGCGGTGTTTCTTTCCTCTCCCTGTGGCCACACCAACCGGCAACTGGCGTTTTTTGTTGTCAATACGGGTCTGGTCAAAATTTGCAGTATAGTATACAGTATACGCAGATATTCGCTTGAGTGGAAATTCTTAAACGTGTAAGCCTTATCTGCCAAACTCTGCAACCCTTCAGCGCTGTTTCATCGTTTCTTTTGCAAGCTGCGTTCCGACCACACTTTGTGTGCTCGGCACCAGTAATTTTGGGTTGTCAAACAAGCGGAGATGGGCCACGATCCTCTATTTCACTTCGCCAATCCCACTCTCTTTGCAGTCAAACTTCGTGAATCAGTTGAGATAGCCCTATCTTCCGAGGCGAGGACCGCCAAGGACCATGGATGACCATGGATAACCTGGACCACTTTCATTTGGGGGGGAACAAACAAGGGGGACACCCGCACTCAACATGCTTCACCTGATTGGGACACCCCAAACGGCTCGGGGGAGACCGACCGCCTTTTTGACCCACAGCTGGTGTAGAAACCTCTGCATATATGTTTGTTGTCGTTTTCATCAACAGTCTACATTCTTTGATGTTGACGATCTATATAGATCTGGAGCATGCAAGGCATGCCGTGACTTCGGAAGTGTTGACCAAAGTTGATGGTCGTTTCCAGGTTCCGAGAGTAATACACACCTGGATGATGACCAGTTGAAGAGGAGATCCCAAGTCCTAATGGTTAGAGTTTAGACCCACTCTTAGCCTGGCGTTTGTTCGCATACAAGAGTCCACGTGGTTGTTGTATAAAGATGTGTCAATCTTGCACCGTGGCAAGGGAACGACCTGGAATTAGACACAGATCTGCTTTTGCTCGCATGTGGCTCTGCATCCTGCAAGAGGAGACGCAGTTTTTGGTTCTTCTTCTTATTTGTTGTCCATTCGTATTTCACAGATCAACCTCCAGCCAATACCCAACAAAGCTCCGGTGTTTGCACACTCAGGTTTTTTCGATCATTAACTCACCTTCCGTTTTCAGGGTGTTTGCTGTATTCTGGAAGATCTCTGTTTTCTCGACTCATCCCCAAGTGCCTTGTCACTTTCTACCAGGTTACAGTTTTAGTCAAATTCAACCAGGGCTTCGGTGTGGTTCCCGTTCAAGCCATTTCACATTCTCTACACTGGGACGACTGACTGACACGGAAATGACACATTGCCTTTGGGAAGACTACTTTCCTCTATTGATATCCGTGGTTTTCCGCTTCTACCAACATGAGTGGGAGTGTAAGGCTAGTAGGCAATTCCTGAGGCCTACGGCCTACCATGCAGTGAAAGTTGCATCTTGCGGGACACATCACGCTGGCGACGAGAGCGGCTGAAGGGAAAGGGCCATTGGCCCGGCGGTGGCGGCTCAGCATACGCAGACGCAGAGATGAGATTAGGTAAAAGGGTTTTGGTAAGAGGTTTGGTACTGAGCATGTATATAAAGACAGTATGCTCGATGACCCACTCCCAAGGTCCTCGCTGTAGGAAAGACCAAGGAAAAGGTATGGTGAGGTTCTTGATGTACTAGATCTCAAAATGAACGCCACTAAATATCGACCAACATGAACACCTGGGAATGCACTATCCCTACGTATGTGTATATATATACACACATTGCAAGTGATGCATGATGTTCACCAATGTTCTCCATCAAACACGTTCAAGTTCGCCATCAATTGGCGCATGGCAGTGATGCTGTTTTGTGTCAAGGTACGATGAATAGATTTCACCTACCACATGCACCTATGTGATCCCAAAAGGATCGGGTGTTCTTCCTTCGGTTTGGGTGATGTTGGGTGTGAACCTTCTATGGCCTCTACTAGCAGGAACGGTGGACCACCTGCAATAGCTTTTGGGGGGACTGGTATCCCCACTTAAACATGAAGAGGTGGAAGTTCATCATACTGCATCCAACTGTGCTTTGGACTGAAAAACCCGAGCTTCCGAGCTTCCGAAAGGGGGTTTCTGTCGGGTGAGAGGCCATCCCAGCAGTTCCATGTCGGGCTGCGAAGTCGAGAGGAGCGGGGTGGAGAGGCTAGTGCATGCATGAGCTATCCTGGTTCCAGTAGCTAGTTATTAGCCTCCTGAGCCCTTACTTCATTAAGTACGCGCCTACTCAATTAAGTAGTAGGGGGGCAGAGCAGGGTTAAGAAAAGAAAGGGAACTGTTCGGGAGTCTGTCTACTAGGTCTGCCGCCACCGAAGGACTGTCGGCCCTTCCAGAACTGCCTAGGGGCCCCGAACCCCCAGCAGCACAAGCTCTGCGGACCAGGGGCACGGATAATGGGAGCGAGCCTGGTTTTCACCATGGGTGAAGTTCGTTAGTACTATCATATCATGTACTATCTCAAAGTAGGCATCTCCAAGCTCGGGAGTGCTTTTTTTGGGGGGGTCGTGGTGAGGCAAAGGCTTGGATGAAACTGCAGAACACTTGTTTGAGCATAGAGAGACCCAGGTTCAACTCAACATATAACAACATGTTTTAAGCAATGCATGAGGGAGAAGTTTCTATTCCATCCATTATGTAAGAGTGAGATACTTTCTTTGTGGTACTCTTTTCACTCGCCTGGGAAGTTCCAGGTTTGCCATGTGCAACTCGCACCACATGTTGGACATTTGTCGGGCTGAACATGCACGTTTACCCGAACACCGAGCGCACGGAATGTGCGGAAATGGAGCACGCGGCGTTGAGCTGAATCCAGTTGAGGAGTCCTTTGCAAGCAGGAGCACAGTCTGAAGCCATGAGCACTGAAATGGATGTAGTCAAAGCCCGGAGCGGTCGGGCATTTGTTGCATTGTCCAGAGGCGACCCGAACCAACCCGAACCAACTGCTACATGTTGGTTCAATCCTCAACCCTAGTTGTGAGGATCAACCCCCTAGCAAACTCGGGGTCCAATGAGCCTTTGGGTGGATATTATATATATATATTAATATACATCATATGATGTATTTAGTATTAACGTTCATACTCTAGACTCTTAGACCCAATATAAAGTATCACGCATTCAACTCACCGGGAAGTTGGATTCCAGCTGCCTCACCCAGCTACAGCTGGCCCCACTGCCCTGACGAGAGCAGGCGTTGCCGTCGAGACCATACCCGGTAAATGTGCGATACACATAATACACTGTTTAACATAGAACCTGAGAAAGGGTCTTCCTGCAGGTCTCCCAGGAGGTCTCTTGTTGTATTTGTCAGTTTGTTTTTTTTGTTTTTTAGTCTGGTATAAAATGTACCTGGAATCTACTGTAAGCCTTTTCCCACTTTTTCTGTGGGGGGATCTGTGCAGGCGGCTTTCGGCCCCTGTGCCGCTGGTGAGCTTCAAGTCCAACACCTCCTTCAGCAGTGAGAGGCGCTCGACAAAGCGTGCGCGCGCGGATGATGGAGCTTCCCTTCTTCTGTTTCTACAAAGAAAGACACGGTGTGTAGCTCAAATGGGGAGCTCCGGGCAACGACTCGCTGGAAGAAGGGAAGTAGACCAGTCTACTCAGCCAGGGCCAGGGCGTCTCCCTATCAAAATGCACACCCACAACGCGCAACACGGCGGAATGCCCGTTTTGGTGTGAAAGTGTTTGACAAAATGGGTCAATGTTCCACTTCCATGTTAGTGGTTTGGCTGTAAAAGCCACAGAAATGGGATGACCAGAGGGGTGGAAGCTTGTAGAGTGTAGAAGGCCTAGAGTGCTAGCTAACCCTTGGTACTTCCTGTGTGGTTTGGGTTTAAAGCCTCGCTCCCCACAACACCCTCACATTGGCTTGTACCGGAAATGACACCACATGGGTCATAGAAGGATTTGGAAGAACAGTATCCTTCCTGGACGAGCCATTTCCTCCAGCAAGTGGGTTGGTCTGACTTCCATGCTTGCTTTCGCTCGGGTGTCGTTGGCCCCCCTGGGCGGTCGGGTGAGTTGACAGGGTCTGAAGCTTCTGGGAGATGGGACAGTCCATGGCTGAGCGCAACAGGCGAAAGTGAGGAAAATCAACATGAATTACCCTCCCTAGGGATCCAGTCGTACCTTCTCAGAAGGTAATTGGATCCACACCTACATAACAGTGTCGAACACATCACCTTCTGAGAAGGTGTTTGGATCCTTAGGGCATGGTCATTTGGATCTATTAGAGGTCTCCTTGCTCGGCAATTTGGCATTCTTAGGGCAAAGCACTCACTTGCAAAATGCCATTCTTATGAGCACACCTCTTTGTGTACTAAATAGTCGTTTGAGATCATTTGAGATGAATATTTATTTACAAGCATTTACATATCAATCTATTCCCACTTCATTCTTAGCACACACTAATCATTCAGCTTTGGGGCAAACCACTTGGCATCGGCTGGCTAGTGGACACTCAGTGATTAGGCTATCTCCCTCGGTTTCATATGGAATTGCTGGTGGAAGCCTTCACCTCCTTTCGCTGGCACAGTTGGTAGAATTGGGAAGGTTGGGGGGAGACCCGGGGAGACATAAGGCGCGTCGGGCTTGGCCAAAGGCGCAGGAAGGGTGTGGTAAGGGAGTTCCTTCTGTTCTATCTCAGCTCGGACGATGAAGTGATCCACCTCCGCCACCTAGAGGGGGGGAATTCAAGGAGTGCAGGGAGACCTAGTTCACGTCGACTCTAGGTGAGTTCATCCTCCCCGCATTTGAAGAGGTTTGACCATCAACACGGGGAGGATTTGGGATATGTCAAGAGTCTACATCTCTCGCCATCATAGCGTCCTGTCGTCTTTGTTTTGACTGCCTGCCACAGGGGTGTGGCTGCCTATACCCGGTCCAAATCATCCAGTATGCTCTCAGGTGGGCCGGCGCCGGCCGTTGCGAAACGCCGACCCCGGACGTTTCTGCGGACCTGGTGTGTTTGGCCAAGGCCAATGTGGTGTGTTTGGCCAATCGTTTGGGAGAAACGCCTGCTCGTCGGAAAGACAATGGATTCTCTATGTTTCTTATAATTGGATATAATTTGTCAATTTTTATTTTACACTGTCACGCTGCCTTCAGGTGGGCTTGTCAGGTGATCCTGGCTGCGATCTGTGCAAACATCATTGAAGCACATGTGCGAGACTACCGTTAAGCTGTGTTCCTTTGACTCAACTGCCACTGCAGACACGGTATATACATCTATATATTGTTACGTGGACACGCCTCATTGAAAAATATTTCTTCAAACGCATCTAGTCTGAAAACCTTCCCAAAAACAACTCGGGCCATCTCTACAGCACACAGACCCCATGGTAAACCCCGGTTTCAACTGTTTGTCAGTCCCAAATCTTTCCCCGCTCCTTGCGAGCCCAATCGCTGAACCCCCTCAACTCTTCCTTTTCAGAATGCAACAAACGTCCGCTCCATTCAGCCAGCCGGTGAGGTGACGTGCCGAACCACAGCCCGTCGTCCTCCTTTTCGTCCTCCTTGAATTCAACCTTTGTTCCTCGGTCGAGGGTAGACACCCAGACTCCGGGCGCTCTGGTTGTGGCCGGCACCGCCGGAGGCAGGAAGCTGAAGAAATGGGGTAATGACAGTGACCAGCCTAGTTTTGCGTACCGTAGCTTTTGGCAAAAAAAACACCTGAGGGGTGCAGCATGGTGCAACCAATCCCATGGGTTTGAAGTCCGACTAATTGCCAACTGACTTGAGTGGTAGAAAATGGATCGAAAGGACAGATGCTAACACAATATTCATGAATATGCTGTTACAGTAATGTTCTATTCCCTGAGTTTGGCGGATTTGAAATCATGTGTATCTCATGGACTGATAGTTGTGTTTTTGTATCAACTGAGGTCTCCAAGCAAATGACCTCAGCCTCCTTCAAGTGGCAACCCGGCGATGCTTTGGTCCATTGCTGGCACCGGAAGCTGACGGACACGTGCGCGGGTCTGCTTTAGCGAGTCAGGGCTGGCTTCGTCAGGTGCTGTGTTTTACATATCAAAATACGGTTTGTATAGGGATGCATAGGGTGAGTCCTGTTAACTAGCAGAAACTCAGTCGAAATAAGATGATCATGATATTGTTTGGAAAAGCCTGCAACTGAACCATCCTCCAGCATCAATATTGTTATTTTTTCTTCAACTTGGAGGTTCAGGTCACCTCGGAACATGACTTCAGCAAATCTTTGCTCTCCCTTCTCTTCAATTAAGAATGACGCTGCTAGAGGATTTGTAGGGTAAGAACCTGTAGGGACCCAGTTCACTAGCATGGTTCAGGTCGCAAGGACCTTGCCCAGTCGTTATACAGAGTCCTGGCACTCCATTTGGTCGATGCTCCGGTAACCGAATGACCAACTATTTTGCATGACCATTTTAGCCAATCATTTGCCAAACAGCTGGTGCATGCTGGTGCCATCCACTTCCATGGAATTTTTGCTCAAGGTGTGTAAATGTGTAGATCCCATGGGAAGTCAAGGATCCCTGGCCTTTGCCCTTTCTGTCATTTCTGTCCATGTTTTGTTGGGGGTAACATGACTCACAGCCACTCCTCAGCCAGAAAATGTGGTGTGTTTTTTCGCTTGTTTGGGAGAAACCTCGATTGATCGTCCGAGTTGAGAGAATTCATTCACAGATCTTGATCTGGTATAGTTTTAGATGGCTTTAGTTTTTCGTTGTGTGCATCAGGAAGGGAAGCGACTCTCCCCAGACATATAGGTCATCAACAGTTTGGTCGTTTGTATGTCTCCCAAAAATCAAGTAATAATATATAAAGCTAGAGCTTACATAGTGACTGCTCCTTTCAAATTGGTTCACGTTGGGGTCGTTTCACTTGGTTAACACAGTTTTCAAGATAGTTTTTCCATGAGTTCGGTCAAGTTCGGTCGTTGAAACCTTCTCACCTGTCGTTTCATCGACCGGTCGTGGAGGTACCAGGACTACAACATGGTGAATCTCATTGGTGAAGGGCGCAATGGTGCTGTCTTCATTGCTTCTCGATGCAGAGGACGACGTTTTTTCTTTTTTTTTCCGAAGGTTTCGGTCAACCATTCCGAGCGCATGTCCACCGAACGGAACATCACTTGTCTTCGGAACGTTTGTAGATCGATGTATCAAAGGACCATGGTTACCTCTAAAAACCTGTCAGGTGCGGCGGAAATAACGCGTCCACAAGCACTGCGTGTTTCTGGAGCAGGATACAACCGTACAGACCAGCACCACGGAGACGGGTGGTTATTGGATGGACGTCGTACATCTGGATGGACGTGGTGTCTATTAACCACCCGAAACTGGGTGGTGCTGGTAACTTGGCTTAGTATATAACATCCACAACAATTCGCACAGAGTTGCAGCCCAGGTGCCAGCGTGGGCCATAGGTCTTGAGTTATTCAGCTTAGTAACTTAGGTTCTCAATGGTCTCCGACTGACCCAGTCGGTGGATCACCTGCTGAAACCCCCCGCTTCCCACCGCTCGGGCGGCTCGGACCGAGCTACCGAGCCGCCAAGCGTGTTCGATTCGTCACCGAGGTTCAGCACAAGATCAGTGAGCAGTACTATGCTTGCAAAGTCCTACACAAGGCACAGCGGTTGGTTTTCCACAAGTCCAATCTGGGCTGGGCTGCAAGGTTCCAGAGCTGGAGCTATTTTGTTGGTGGATGGTGTTTGTTGAGTTTGCGTGTTTTTTTGATTTGCTTCCTACGGCTTTTCTTGCTTTTCCTTGCTTCTCTATGACCTCTCCTGCTCTTCTTGCTTTTCCTTGCTTCTCATCGCTTTCGTGTGGTTGCTCCCGCTGTTTTTTTGCTTTTTCTGCTGTTCTATGCTTGTCTTGCTTTTCCTTGCTTTACATTGCTTCTTTGTGAATGCTTTATGTTTCTTTCTTTTCCTGCTCCCTTTGCGTGGTTTGTTCTTCCTGGCTTTTCTCCTTTACTTTGCTTCTTCTTGCCCTTTTTTGGCGTATCGATTCCCTATCGTAATGTGTTTTCTTTCTATGGTCTTTGTTGCTTTCTCTTTGGTGTTGCTTTTATGCTTGATTTTCTGGCTTTGTATGCGTTTCCCACTCTTTGTTTTCTGCTCTGCTCCACTGTTTGTTGTGTTTTAGTTCACCTTAAGGAACAACCCCCAAGTCCAAGTGCATCATATGAACAACGCCCTTTCATTCTGGGAACAGCTATATATATAGCTTTTTCAGTTCCACTGAAGGAACTATAGAGAAACCACGCCCGCACAAAACATATCTCCAAACGCAACAAACAAATCACCAAAGAAAAACACACCTGTTGAAAAGTGGCCTCGCTTAAAGTGTGCCTAGGTTTTGGTGTGGCTAACCAGTGGGGCTTTTCCAGAGCCTGAATGGCATTTGAAAGGACACTGACTTTCAGAGGAATGGACAATGTTTGGATTGAAAATAGTGACTTGGACCCCAAATACAAGAGACGCGGCATTGGGGGCCATGGGGGTGCGTTGAGGGGTGGGACTTGACATGTTGCGTTCATCGGCATTTTCTAGGCTGAAGTCATTTACGATTTGTTCAAAGATTTGTTTATATGACTTGTTCAAAGTCTTTAAAGCAATATTACAGGCCTGGACTTTCCAACCGGGGTGTCCAATGGAGACCCATACGTAGTGTGAGATAGTTTGTTGGTGTGCAGCGCAAAATGAAGTACGGCAACCTGACACATCTAATGCCGTTTGCAGCAAGGGTTCAACATGGTTCAACCATTCCGACCTCAAATCTGGTCCAGTCCAGAGGCTTCTTTGATGCCAGATACCTGACCAGACACCTAAGCATCACAGAAGCTCCGACAGGCAGAGCAAGATTCCAGTGCGCTTCGGGCTGAAATCAAGGCACGCTCGGGCTGAAATCGACCGATTGTATGCGCGCGAGTTTTGCGTAGAAATCTGATATCTGTGACATATTCTGTTCCAGCTATCAAAAGTGCCAATTTACCACCGCCATAGACCCACCAACATACACTGAGTGGATGTGAGTGTGCTTTTTGTAGTGAAATTGGGAGTGGTTCCAAATTCCTAGTAGGTTTTGGTAACGACTCCACCCATTTTGGTCTGTAAATTGGAGCTAGCAAATTGCCATGGCGCATCAAGAATGGCCCGGATTTCACCAAGGTGGATGTTATGGTCACGTCAGAGCCAGAGCATTCGTTCGCAGTTCCCATATCCTTACACCTAAATCTGAATTAAAGGTTTTGAAAGTGGATGAAGAGTTCAAAATAGTTCACCTCATTTCACCTGACACCATCCGAAGAAATATATATGTTCTTTTCTTTGACCGATTGCGAAGGTCCGAAGACTCAGTGTTTGAAATCATATTTTGGTGAGTGGAGTTCTGCAAAATGCCTTTGCTGGCCAGCGGAATCAAATCATTGGCTCATCTTCTGGGCAACAAGGAAGCAAGATGTTGATTTTTGGAAGCAAGCAAGCGATCGTCGACCATCATAGAGCATTGGACAGACCCGTGGAAGATCGTTTGTTTTTTTTTCTTTCTCGGAAGCAATCCGTTCGATCTAATTCGATATGCAGAGGCTTCTCCACCACCCTTCTCGAAAATCCTGGATGCCTTCGACCCTCACTTCGACCATTTGTAATTGGAAGTACGTACCCCACGACCATACGACCAAGTCCAGGAGGTCTAGAACGAAGGCACCCGGAAGCCGCCCTGGTCTTTGGTCCGGAGTGAGACTGGGTGAAATCGTCTGATCCACGATCCACGTGACATAGTAAAGCCGGGCTAGATGGGGTGTTGTGTTCGTTTCAATTGCAGACATCCTGGAGTAGATAGAATATGGGGAAACACGAAGACCAAGACAAACTTGTCATTCTTTGTTCGACTTGCTTCATGTTCTATCAAGGTGCCCATGATTAATCATGATTAAGGTTTGCTTGCCCATGGCCGGCTCTGGCACAAGCATCGGGCACTAATCCAAAGCGGCCCACTGTACCAACAGAACTCAAAAACAAATCCAAAAAACATGACTGGACTAAATAAATAGTAATACACACATATAAAATGACGACCAATAAACAACACCATCATCTAAAACCCTTGGACTAAGACTCTAGACTCTAGACTGGACCCCAGCTGCTGGGCACCCGGTGAACCTCGGGTCTCCGCTCGACCGCAGAACCTCCGGATGCTGGACCACCCCAACGTCGTACGGCTCTACGAAGTGAACGAGGACGCCGAGGTGCGCGGGCGATGCGCGGACGATACGCCCGCGCCCGCGCCCGGACTCACGTTTCGGCCCAAAAGGTTAAAACACTCGGCTTCGGAGCTAGAACGTGTCGGATTTGATGTGTTGATTCGTGTCATTTGGAGCTTCATTACATCGAATCGTTTTCCTCGCCAGCTGGAGGGAGAAGTCCGGTCTTTGGACTCGGTCGATTCCACGCGGCGGTCGACGGATGAGACATGACCAGACGAGCGGGGGGTTCATCAGCGGATTTTCATGGTTTTTGCCATGTTTTTCTTGAAACACAGCTGATTCCAAGTGTTTTGAATTGGTTCATCACTTGGCTTCATCACTTGACGAACCAGGAATTGTCCGAAAAAAGTGATGATGGAATCGACCCACGCGTGCACTATCAAGGTGAGATCTTTGAACCAATCATGACTGGAGGGCCAGGCATGATGCACAAAGACTCACTTTTGTTTCGAAAGATACAGACAAACTTGTGCAGCCAGCAGAGCTCAGGATCAGGATGCGGAAAAATCAGCAGGTGCCTCCGGCCTCCGGTGTTTTCTTCCGTGGCCTGTGATCTGACGAGACCGATGAACGGGACCTGCGCAGGCCGTTTTCCTTCTCATGGAGTACTGCTGTGGAGGGGATCTCTTCAGCGCCTGGGCGTTCCATGGGAAGACCGGAGGACCAGTCGAGGACAGGAGGACGGCGGTGAGTTCTGCCAGCTACCCAGTTGCCCAGATGACCTTATTAAACCAGTTTGAGCTTCTTTTGGGGACTAGTTTCCCAAACATGAAGATAGATCAGGTTCACCTTCAATGATTTTCCAAACTCCCGACCCTGGCGCCTACATCAAAGCACATCACCTCAGAGCATGGCAGTGGATCGGGCGGATAAGATGCCTGTGATTTCCTCTGGAGAGCTCATGGAGAATGGGGTGGGTCATCCCGCATAGAACATGGTCATGTGTTGCATGTTATACTCTAGAAGTGGTTTCTTGACAAAATATTGGGCTTTCTCCAAGCTGCGGGTCTTCGTGATCTAGTGAAACGCAATGAACCCCACCCCCAGACTTCACTAAGGGATGACGTGATTCTTTGGAAGACGTGGTTCCTTTTCGGACCAATGGTTTTCGGGTCAATGTTGGTTTGTGGGATGAGTAGCCTGAGTATCCTGTTCTTCCACCAACATATTTGAATTGGCCGCGTGAGAGTTGCATTTCCCCCACCCGAGAGGATTTTGGAGTACTCGTAGCTATAGATCTTAGGTAGACAACCAAGTGCATCATCACCAAGTGCAATGACAAACACAACAAGCCATAACACTGACACATTGGGTTTAAAGGGTGTCGTCTTCTTCGCCCTGGATCCGTGTCCGTCCCTCTGTGTGCGTCCAACGTCCATTCCGAGGTTTGGTGACGGAGTCGCACGAGGGCCGTGTGAGCGAGAAGGTGGCGCGCTCCTTTGCGGAGCAGATGCTCAGTGCGCTGGCGTGCGCCTGGAAGACGAAAGAGACGGAAGAGACGAGTGCCTGGGTGTTTAGAGGTCCAAAGACGCGACTTGATCCAAACAACCGGTCGGTTGAAAAAGAGGTTCGAGACGGTTGGTTTTCTTTTTTCATCATGTTTATGATGTTTTGTGTTATGTTCATGTCATGTACTGTAATTGTCATGTAGTCATATATATAGCTATAGTTTCTCCTGTGGCCAGGCAGATCAAAGCAGAGTAGGGTAGAACCCTTGTACGTTCCGTTCTGGAACGATAGGAGGATAAGGCAGCATTGGGCAGCCAATGACGAAAAGGATGCATATTGTTACATAGTTCCAAAAGGGTTCCTTTTTGGATGTAGGGGTGCCTAGCCTAGTCCACTCACTTAGGGACTAAAGACCATTCCTTTGGAAATTCCAGACTGGTATGTTGTACCCTTGGACAACCCTGTTTGAGTAGAAAGTGTTTGTTTCTTTTTTTCAGGACCGTGCCATCCACTTCCACGTGATGCGTGAAAGTCAGAGTGTATGTCTTGCGGGGTGTCAACAATCATCACTAAGAGAAAAGCCTGCAACTGAGGCATCATCAGCCTCTGGGCCCAGGTGGGTCCTTGGTTGCCTCCTTCGAAAGTTCCAAGAACTTGGCTTTGGGGCCAAACCATGGGTTGGTCAGTCCAAGGTACGTACTAACTCAGTAGGCCCTTGGAAGAAGACACGCGAGCCGCCTCCAGGTATTGCCACTCGATGGGCATCGTGCACCGGGATGTGAAGCACTGGGGCCTAGTGTTGGACGACCGTCGGAGCACCGTTGCACACCGCTCTTGAAACTGAAAAGATGTGATGAAAGAGCAAGGTTGTTGTTGTCAAACATATGCAGGATCAGTCTTTGACACTGGTGACCCACTTCAAAAAAAGTAATATAAAACGGTTTGCCTGGATTTACATGGAGGTAAAACAAGGGGTGTGATGATGCAACCGAGGATAGTGATGAGTCTCATGTGTGTTTGTGTGTGGGTGTGAGTGTGTGTTATGTTTCTTCTCAGATTCGATGGACAGCAATGGACTTCAATCCCAGACACTCCATAAGACGTCTCACGAATTTGCCGTCCCGCCTGGGGGCACTGCCTTCCTTCAGGACGAAAAATCAGGCGGACTGCCAGGTCACGTCTCGGGTCACGAGAACTGTGACGCTTAAGGCCAGAGAACTTCCTTTTGGAGGGCATCGTCGAAAAGGCGAGTCGAGTCGAGTCGTGTTGGACGTCTTCTTCCGCCGGTCGCCGTTTTTTGGGGTCGTTTTGGAAAACAACAAACGGAGACGGCGGAGCTGGGTGAACATGGGAGGGTTTTTGGTGGGGGGGGAGAAACTGGTGAATTTGTGGGGTGGTGAGTCTTTGAGTGTCGGAGATCAGGGCTATAGTCTTAAATCCCACAAGCCATGACAAGCATTTCGAGAGCTTGCAGCCCTTACATAGACTCCTCCAACAAGAGCAGCAACCGTTCTCCAGACTAAAAGGCAAACTTCCTTTTTGGCACACATGGAATGTGCAGAGTTTAGTCATTGCCGTACAACTTTGCTTACTACTCAAAGCTTTCAAAGGTCTGAGACAGCTGCACTCGCCTGAGACCTCCAGGGTTTCAATTGAACTTGCCGAGAGATTGTCTTGGTCTGCGTGGTCTCCCAATGGATTGGGGATGATGCCCACTGTATGGTTTGGTTAGAGGCATTCACCTTTCCATTCCTGGAGCCAAACTCTCCAAAAAAACGGAACTACTTCAAGCCTAGAACGCCTAGAACGCCTTGAACGCCTCCAGCCGCCTCTGTCCCGCTCCTCCCACCGCTCCCGCAGGATGCGTCCCTGGCGACGCTGAAGCTGGCGGACTTCGGCATCGCCACGCACATCCGGTCGCTCGTTTCGGTGAAAGAGGTTAGGCATGGTTAGGCAAAGGGTCTCAGGCTTATAGTGGATTGAGAGATGGCACAGACCCCAATGTCGGTGGTTTATATGGACCCCCATCTGTGTAGGACATCTTGGGGTCTGTGCCATCTACTCTCAATCCACTGTAGAAGGATGGTGGTTTCCAAGCATGTTTGAGGTCAAATTGGATGACATGGATGGTGCTTCATGGATGGTGCTTCAAACCAAGCATGTTTGATACTGATCATGGATGGTTTGATACTTCAATTTGAGCCACGAGTCCATTTTTTGCTTGAGGTTGCATTCAGTTTCTTATCGGAGGAAGGTTATTTGTTAGGTGTATAGTTGCTTGTGTGGATCTCCCAGGCCCAAAGTAAGTCGAACCTTGCCAGTCAATGACACGTTTGATCCACTGTCAGCCCGGTCAATCACCGTCATTTGCCCTCTCAGAATCCGGACGGACCTCGGCCCACTGGGCGTTCAGAGGGTCTTCGCCTGTCACGTCACGCGGGCCGAAGGGGTGGAGCGCGGGACCTTGGCTCCGCCGCCGCCGGACCAGGTGTGCGGAGAGCCATTCAGAGGGACAGGTGAATGGCAGTGTGCCCTACATGGCACCTGAGCTCTTTACGAAGAGGTGGAGCTCCCTCGTGCGGGACTGATGGGTTGGAAGGGATGGCGATGGATGGCCTGTGGATGCAGAAGATAGAAGGAGAATGCACAGTGGAGAGATTCCCATCAATCCCAGGCACTCCATGTATGCCATATATGCCTACATTGACCCCCGAAACCACCCCAATGTTGGCATATATGGCAGTCCCATGGAGTGTTTGGCAATTGTTGCTGTTGTAAAGTGATGTAAAGTGAGCAGTAGGAGGAGAGGGCGGAGAAAGTTGAGGATTTGGACTCTGGATTAATATGAGTATGAAGACGAACCTCTCTTCAGGGATAACTACACTCAGGAAAGGTATGAAGTACATGGACGCTGGGTTGGAGTCGTCATAACTCATTCTGAATAAATGGTTTCAAGCGGCCAAGTATACGCAGGCTACTAGTATAAGATTTCACGAGTCAGGATGTGTATTTTTTTCAGGGTTCCGTCTCCACTGTGCCACTGCTTCTTGCTATTCAGAATCAAGAAGCACTGGGAATCACTTCCATCAAAATACAGGTCTTGCTTCTTTCCAGACCCAAACATCGACCCAGAATTTCTGGCCAACTTCCCACCCAAAACCTCCGCCACGCCCAAAACCACCATGTCAAACCCCCACCCGCCCTCGAAACCGCGCCGTTTCTGGGCGCCGGTCCCTCGCCGTCCTACCCGCGTACCGCCGCGCCGTCCGCGCGCGCTCCTCCCTCGCGCGAGGACTCCCAAGGGGATCGACACCTTCTCGCGGCTTCGGATCTGTGGAGTTGTGGCATCGTCATCTACGCACCTCGGACGAGTGGTGGTCGGACCGGTCGGAGTGGTGGTGAGCTTTTGGTTCGGAGTGGTGGTTAGGTTGTGCGGATGTGGTGGTCGGATGGGCGTCTGGGCCGAGCCGGAGGAGTGGTGTTTTGCGGCAACTTAAGGGTTTCATTTGGTGCCCATCCTTGGAGAAAGGAGAAGAACATGGGGTTTGTTGAACCATGTTGAAACTATACTTCCAGGATGTTCACTCATGACGAAACCTCATGATTAATATGATGAATGTTGATCAGCTTGGAATTCGGGAAAATTGCTTTGGGTCCAAGGCCCTTAGGCTTCTCCCACTTGTGGGAAACATGAAATCTGGAAATCACTCGTCGATGGAATCCTCTGCCAAGGTCATGCTCTCAGGGGATTTGCCCTACGGCTCCGATGAGTATCGGATCGCCAGCGGCCGGGAATCCGACCGCTGGGTGAGGATAGGAGAATGAAGCACAGAAGCAGCTTCGGGCAGCTGCAGAGTTTGAGAATAAGACGGTGAGAACAGAATATGAAGCCAGCCAGAAAAAATGCCATATACTATATATAGAACATTAAAATTAATGCTATCTCTTTTCTAGTCCATAATGTTTTAATTAATCTGAACCTTGGATGATTTTTTTGGTCACTGTGCCCAGTTGGATAGACTTTAAATCATTCAAGATTCATCAGAAAAGTGACCAGTGAAGGCCAGCTAGTGTCACAAGAGGGTCCCAGCTTGTTCTTACATACATAGCATGCTATCACTCGTATTTGCAAGGAAGACTGTGAACTCCCTCCCACCCCCAATGTGCGGTCTTGACCGATACACGCCGGAGTCGGACCAAGGCCGGAAACGAGCATTCTTTTCACTAATTAACCAATCAACATCCACTACACTACGATTTGGATGGGGTCGTAGAAGGTCCTTCCCCCGTTCCGGCACTCGCGGCGAACAATCACTGTGTTCTCCCACACACAACTTGCGGACGCGAACATCCGCGTTCCGTTTCCCGTTTTGGCCACGATTGCCTCAGGGGAGCCCCCAGATTTCTCCAAGGAGGTCTGGAGATCGATCGGTGGCGGGTGTTGAGTCGGAATGTGACATCCAATGGCAAAGGCCGGTCATTAGGTTTGTTATCTTGCCATAGGTCTGGATCCAACAGCAGGAGGTCAATGATTCATAATTAATGTGTTGTTTTTCTTCTTGGTTGAAAGAATCTGGTGGAACAAGATACATAGTTATACCAGATTTGATCATGTCATGTACATGTTAACTAAGGTTTTGACATGTTTTGACTATCTATTCGGGTTCTTGAGTCACTTGAAGGGTCACAGCACCTAGTACTGGATTTCAAGACTCTTGATTTGTCAAAGACGTCCCTCGCTGTTCGTTGGTTGTTTGACTCATTCAGTTGCAAACAAGTGTCACCTTACATGAAAACACTATATGTCACCCTATAAATCCACATACCGAACCTGAGAAGGTGATTGGAGACTATTTATGTAGGCGCCAGGAGGGTCCAATTACCTTCTAAGAAGGTATGTAGATCCATAGGAATTGAATTCAGAAGACCACAATGGGTATCCTTTTGATATCCTTTGACCCAGCCGTGGGTGCCAAGACATGGTCTCCATCTTTGCACACCTTGCTGCTTTGCATGTCCCGAGTCAGCGCGAGGTTTGGCAGAACGTTTCCCCCGAAGCCATCGACCTCATCCGAAAGCTCCTGCAGCCAGAGGTGGAGGAGCGACGGGTCCTCCACAGCCTTGTTGTTGAACCGCGTGGGCGGTTCCAACGTTGGAGCCGTTTAGTTTGGGAATTCCTTTTTGCGGGGTTTTCATTGACTTGGGTAGTACTACCTCAGTTGTTTTTGGAAGGGTTTTTAAGTTGATTATATATATGTTATTATATTAGAACAGTTTTCACGGCAAACGGTCTTGCTTGAGCTCTTTTGGGGAGTGTGAATTAGAAACATGCAACCAATCATGGCTTGGTCAGAGTCTTCCACGAGACCAGTTCGGTCCTTGAAAATGTCTAGACAGAACCTGAGTGACTGTTTTGGAGCAGAAAAAACATCCTGATCAAGACAGAGGTCATGTCTGGGTTCTATAGGTACAGTTCTCATTCATTATCGATGTTTCTCCAAAGGAATCACCCAACATTTTCGAGATAAACACAAACCCGACACAACCAGCACCACACCTGAGCAGAGCGGACATCAAACGACGCCAGGAACGATGGACCGCTTCGCAAGCAGTACGGCACGAGGTGAGAAGTGAGTGGTGGTGGAAGATGGTGAAAGAGGTCAGTGGACAGAGAGTTGTTTGTTCACACACTCCATGCAACTGGAAGATTTACCAATGATTGATCCCTTTTCGTCCCTAGACCGATACCACACCAGGGTAGATATGCCAGTTCCATGGATGGTCTCGGATGTTCGAACCGCTCCAGAGACTTCCGTCGCATGGGGCGTTTCTTCACCGTCCTCCGCTTCTGCGGCGGAAGCGCGGAAGACTGCAACGGTGGTTTCGGTTTCCACAGATCAAGTAGAGAGGAACCATTGGAACATATTGGAACCAATTAGATGTACACAGACGCAGAATCAAGCCCCACGGTATCCCCACGTGATTGGTGTGTGATTTAACATTCTCATTTTGTCATAGGCAAGTTTTGATCCGAATGTCAGTTCCTCTAGTCCAAGTAAGCACTTTCATGATACTTAATTGTCTTTCACACCTAGAAGAAGTACCAAACATACATCACTCCTATATAGATGCCAGATTCCAGAAAGTGATTGATGTCAGATCAGTGTTGGAATCCTTCCTTCACAGCACGACAGGACATCTCCTGTGACCATGGACCGTACTTTAGTGTTTTCGGTTCGGTCGGCATCGCGACCGGCCGGCCAGTGGTTCACCAACCTGAAGATCACCCGGCCGTCACCGGAGTCCCAGGGCAGGCGCCGTGAAACCGTGGAGCGTTCGTGAAACCGTGGGGCGCGCCTTGGACTGGGGGAGGAAATGGCAGGAATATCTGGTACGCGGAGGTACAAGGAGTTATCTAGGAGTCACCAGGTGAGATGCTGGTGGAATGGTGAAATGTTGGAAGAGTTTCTTTCGGAAGGCTTTCCTTGGTCAGACTATTGAAGATGGACTAAGAAAATGACATCGTAAGAATTACTGGTTTCTCTGGTCCTTGGAGATGGGCTGCTCTCTTTTCTCATAAGGCCAGCATCTTTGGTGCCACAGAATGAGACGCAAAGGAGTCAACAGAGTCGTTCGACGAAGGATCCCAGCAGAACGAGTCCAAGACTAGTCCTTTGGACTTGGCACAAAAGGTCACAACTTGCAACTTGGAAGACTGTTTGACCCCCAAACAGACCATCCTCATGTCATAGAATCAAACAAAAGGAGCAGAGGCTTCTCTGGATCGAACGCAGGACTCCTCACCTTCCACTCGCTTCCCTTCGACTTTCAGCTCCAGACAGGTCGGTCACCACCGAACGCTCCGAAGGCGACCGAATCAGACGACGGCTTGGCGGTCAGGTGATGACCGGTTTGTATGGTCGGTCCGAAAAGGAAGCGAAAGGGAATGCTTTGGAGTCAAAGCATGTCGAAGTCTTCAAGTTGAAGATGTTGTTGTTGTTGTTGTTGTTGGTGGTGTTGGTGTTGGTGTTGGTGTTGTTGTTGTTGTTGTTGTTGTTTTCCCAGCATATCCCATCTCCTAAAGTCAAGTCTTGGCTGGTGAGATCAACTTTGTAATGAAACGGGAATGAAGAGAACGAGGGCCTCGAGAAACTTTTGAATGTATGCAGCGCTCTAGGACATCATTGCCAATAGAACCGTTCACGAATGCTTCTGTTGCCGAGTTTTTCTGGACTGGCTTTGGGTGTTAAAGAAAGAAGAAAAAGGGCGAGTCGGGGTGGAAGTCAAGACTTATTGGGAGATAAATATAATATCAGCTGATATCAGCTGCAGATATTAATGAGTGGAACTCTGCCAGCAGGAACGTATAGATTCATTGCATGGCAGGACAGCTGAGATTCTGGTATTTAGACGCCTATACACAGCCTATATATGTAGGTTCTCGTGGCATGACATTCCGCTGTGGCCACAATTCGCCGGCCTTCCTCCAAAGTGAAGTGTCATTTCTTCAAGGCAAGATAAACACAAGGATGAAGTTACCAGGCAACGTGTTTTGGAGCTCCGTGTTCCGTCAAGACTTCTGGAGCTCCGTGGTCCGTCCCTGTCACGTGGAAGCGCGGGTCGCTCGGGTCATGGTTGGTCGCTCGGACTGGACGAACCTCGAGGGAGTCAGATTGAAGAGGAATCATATGGGAGGGAGTCTGTGGATATACTGAGGTTTGGGATGGTTTGGGAGAAGAGGCACAAAGTGGAGTGAAAAGTTTGGTTTGTGTTGGACAGACATATTATAATGCTTTGTATCCTGCGCCATGGACAGCTATCAGCCACAGAATCTGGAAGAAAATCTCCCAGATTCTCCACCTGGCCTGTGTGGTGGCAAAATGGCCAACACCAACCATCTCTTGGTTCCGCTCGTTCGGGACCCCGACCACAGACCATCGTTTTCCGCTCCTACAGACCACGCAGACACCGCGGTCCGTTCCAGCGACAGAGGCGGTGCTTTCTCCTCCGCCGCGGACTATGCCCGCGCCACCCTGCGGGGCCTTCGACGATGGCGCCAGCATCCCTTCCTCAGGCGAGCGACTGATGGGCGACGGAGGAAGTGACGGAAATGAGAAGGTCAAGAGGGCGACCGAGAGAATGAGATGAATTCGCTGGTTGCGAACCTGCCAGGGGTTTGGCACAACATCCAAGTGGAAGGCTGTCATCCGCCGATAATCCGGCATCGGCTGGGAGTTTGGATCGGGTCGACCATGCGAAAGACCATCTCGATCGATCAAGGTCAGTTCGGGCGCTAGGAGCATTTGGGAGCACAGGGTGTCACAATGCAGCCACAGATCACGAGCCCATGTAGGGCTCAACCACCTTTCAGAAAGTAGCTAGACCTCCCAAACCCACCCAACAACCTTCTGAGGATGGGTGGAATTCAGGACGTCTGAAAAGCAGAAGAGTGGAATTGATACGGTTTTTGGGGGATAGTCATCTCGGAGAAAGGTGCCTTTCTTATTGAGTCAATGCTATACCCCACACAATCCCACCTCAGGATGTTTCATCATGTTTCATCACCACAAAACATGGTCTCTTCCCCAAACGAGGCGAATGGTGATGGCCGGGATCGCCAAACGGATGGAGGAGCGCCCAGATCCGCTGAGAGACGCGTCCAGATCCACCAAGGGAAACCGTGGGAAGTCGGTAGATGTAGATGTGGAATATGGACCTCATGACAACCAGTGTGTGCACTTGTTTGGTCCAGGAAAAGTGGGTCACCTGAAAAGCTTGTTTGGGGAATTTGTGTATCTCCACAAGACAAGAACGGGTGGAACAAGGGTTAACCTTAATGTTCCAGGGAAACTCAGCGAATCAGGGGTGGATGGTAGGCAAAGTCATCCAGAAGCATGCCTTACATGTGAACCACATGTTCTTTTGGAACACATGCGGTAGAATGAATTCATGTGATCGCATCAACTGAGTGGCATCACACACCGCATCAATTAGAAGTAGCGACGCCCGATCACCCAAGAACTCGCCGGCCTTCTGAAAAGAATTTAGAACATGACCACGAGGTTTGGGGTTATGACTTGCGGGAGTGGATGAACATCGACTGTTCCCCCAACATAACACTGACATGCAGTCCTTTGCTGTAAAAGCATCAGGTGACTCATTGTTGTGACTCCTTGTGGCTGGTATTCTCCCAAACTTACAAACCCATGCCTAGCCCAGGCAAAGTGGATCACATGCCTAACCTTTTTTGGGGTGGGAGGATGGGTTTTCCCCACAAAAAAAGGAACAGCAGGTTGAAAAAGGCTAATATGTTTGCATGGAAGCTGAGGTGAAACTCATAACATCTCTGGCCACAAGTAACAAAAGGACTCCAGATCTATCCAGATCCTTTCTTTCGTTTTCTATTTTTTTTTTTTTAAGCTTCAGATCTCGGCCAGGCAGACCACCCGGCGAGGAAGTTCGCCGAGGCAGCCTTTCAGGCCTTCAAAGGCGCCATCGGGTGCCTCCGTGGCGTTCGAGGATGGAGCGGGTTTCGTTCCTTTGATCGCCTTATTGAAGATGTAGACACAGGAAATCAAGCAAAGAGCAACACAATGCATTTCATATCATGTCATACAATTCTTCAACGTCTAGGCATGATGTGCTTAAGGTACCAGTAGGCTATGGCATGCCATGGTTGTCTTTATGGGAACTTTCAGTTCACGGAGTTAGTTGATGTTCTTTGTGAGTTGTTTGGTTTGTTTGTTGGACGGCCTGGACGGACTTCATATGTTTTTTGGCTTGTGGCACTGTGGCACTGTGTTTTTTGGTGTGTTTTCTTTCCGGGCAGACCGGTCGTCCGCGTCCGCTGATGGGCACTGTTACAAAATAACCTGACCCCACATAAGCTTGCAAAACTGGTAGGGGCATGGAGGGGCCAATCCAAACCTTGCAGTATACACCTTACATATGGAGGTTATGGATCAACAAAAGGTTTAGTTTGCCACTCACAAGTACTCACATGTATGAGTGCTTTCACAAAACCAGGCTGGATTGATCATCCAGTGAGCACCTTGCCCTCAGGGCCTTCTTCTTGTGGATGAGGGTATGTACAGTAATAGAAGAGGGATACTTTGTATTTCCCTTATTGATCTTGAGGGTCTCGCTCTTTCAGTACATACCCATGTGGCTGGACGGATGAGTGCATACAGTGTGTGTTCGTCGCAGCCATTGCGAGGTTCGCAGGATCAGCTGCGGAAGGAGCAATTGGTTCAGGTGGGGTGCTCATGTGCAGGGCCGCAGGGCCCGCCGTTGGGTTTTATTCTACCCAATTTCGACCCCCCCAAAAGGTATAGATTGACAATTAAGATATTATGTTTTTGTTCATATTATAAATATATCTTCTAATGTGTTGGAAAACATGACGATCAGGGAAGCTCTAAAGCAGCTTTTTTTTCAGGCCCTTTCTTCGATGCAGCTCCGTTCCGTTCTCCCGGGACCCAACCCGAACTCGTTCGGTGGGGTGTGTTGGCATGAAGGCTACTTCCTTGGTCCAACAGCATCGCCCTTCAGGCTGATGTCTCCTTTTCCTTCTCACCTCGCAGCCGAACTCGAAGACGACCCGGTGCCCTTCACTCCACGCGTCGCGAGTCGCGAACCACGCGTGAACGGCGCAGGCGTTGAACGGCGCCTTCTGCGGGAGCCCACCCGATCCGTCCAGCTGTAAGAGCCAAACCCCGAGCTCCGAGAGCTTCCTCCAGGCGGAGCGGCGAGTTCTCGGCGGTTGAGCGGGGAGTTTCCGCCGCGAAGAGAACGGCACATCATGAGGGGATTGGATCGGATTGGATGTGACGAGACTAGAGTTGGTTTGTCACTGATGTGACGTAAGGTGGGTGACCCATTGGCAGTGGCAGCGATGTAGAAGCTGCAAAAAACAACCGCTTTTGTGGAAGATACTGTATATATATATATATAAAGATATAATGTTTCCGAAAGTTTCACAAAATGCTTGTCTTTGTGGAATATCTGAGGTATCGCTTCCACCAACTCTCCAGTTTTTCTTGCAGCTGTCGTTTGTGGTGATGATGCTGATTCCCCAGATGTTGCTGCTGAATTTGCGGCCGTCGCTTTGATAGTTTGGGATTTTATAGGATAACTTAGGCACATCACAAAGCGGCAAGTAGTTAAGTCGTTGCATCAACAAGCCAAAAAACAGCTTTGGTTCACCCACCCAGCAACCCGTGGCACCTCAACACCTCACACCAAGCTGTGGTACCTCCACCCCTTCCTCGATATGACCGCTGGCTGTTTGGGGTGCAGGGCGAGGGCGTGCGGACGACCCGGAGCAATTCCTCCGTGGGCTCGGGCGTTTCTCCCAGCCGGGCACCCTCAGGGCCGACCGTGGCCGTGGTGGGTTCTTGGTCTCAGACTGTTTGCGTCCTTTAAGGATTCCCAGAACATCCATGGGACTGGCATCCTTACAAACCATTGGGGTGGTTCAAAAGGGTCATGTAATTACTCACTAGCCGCTAGCCTCACTAGCCTCAGGGTCATGTAAACACGTAAACTGTATGTAGGTATTCCATGATATTCTGTATAGCTTGGGATTGAAAGTAAGGAAGGATCAGATGGCTCATGGAGATGGAGTAGGGTCCCGTAGGGTGTTCGTTTCGATCAGACTGTAGAGGTTCAGATGCTTGTCTTGCAAGCTGCTAGCAAATAGGATCAATTAGGCTTCCCTCAGGACGTTCTCTACTGAGTCATTAAAGGTGGTTCACTACTTCAGTGAGAAAGATCGAAAGACAATGAGTCCGCCTCTACGGAAGCATTTGATGCTTCGTCATGCTTCACTTGCTGCTTAGGTGGATTCTTAATGACTCACCCCCTTCGATGGTCCCTGGAAATCCGGAGGGACAGGCAGGATTGATGTTGTGTTGGTTTTCAGACATGTTCCTTTCAGCTGGACCTGTCCCGTGGCGACGTATTTCCACTCATCGCAGCACCTTCAGAACCTCCGGGGTTCGCCCCTACACTGGTTTCGCCCCAGCCCACTACTAGGATCATCTAGGATCTCCCTGTCCAGGACACCCCATTCTTTCAGGTCCAAGATGTTCTTTCTGGTATGATGGGGCCCTGTCCATCACATTCGCTCCATCCAATTCGGTTCAGAGACTCGATGGATGACGTCTTGTCGATGTGAGCAAACCAGGGTCACGACAGACATGTCTATGCAGTACCTGGTGACGAGGTGGCCACCAGGTATTGGCTTTTGTCCCCCTTGGCATAAAGACTCTTGGCTATATTGATTCCTGTGTTTTTAAGGGTTGAGTTTCTATTGGTGTTTTTCTTTGAGGCACCACGGTTTTTGTAAACGATTGGATGTCCCCACAACATCACTCCATTTGGTTTGTCACGCAGGTCCGGAATAAGCATGAACACATCTAGATAAACCAATTCACAGTAAATACACCGCCCTTCCCATTTGTGGATGGTCTGTCACCTTTGGTCTGGGGGGAGGTTGATTCATCCACGTCTGTGCCTCCCAGCTCCGATCATCCGTCCCAAGGCGGAAAGAGCGTCACCGGCTTGTACGTCCGTCGGGGGAACCCGCACACCGCGCGGAAGACGGAGGTATTTCTTTTGAAGGCTCAAAAAGCGACGAAGAACTCTGGGGATGAACTTCGGGATGAAAGCTGGCATACCAATCCCTTTAGAACCAGTCAGCCCTGCAGGGCATAACTGGTCTGAAAGATGAAGCACTAAGCCTTCCTTTCTGGCTTACTGGCTCTCAATCCCTTTGACCTGGGTGTATCCAGTTCACATGCCATCGTCTTTGTTTTAATTCCCTAGGGCTCCAACCATATCCTCAGGTTCGGCGGTTAGACCCCCAAAACCCACCCCAACCACCAAACCTCAGGAGGTAGGCCAGGAGCCCTAGGGATTTTCATGGAAACATCATGGAACCCGACCACTTTGCGAGTGGGCAAGGGATGCTGTGATGCGTCTGTGATGCGCGTTTATGACCGGACCATGGGAACCCCAGGCTCTGGGGATGCCCCAGGAAAAGTGGGTAACCTTGGGAGATTGGTTTCTCCACTTGCTCAACAACTGGGAATTCTGGGAATTCTGTGTATCCTCTTTTTGACGGCCTTGCAGCTACTTGTTCTTCTCACCTTAAGCAATGGATATGACTGCAGTGGCAATGTGCCTCGTTTGGCGTCACATTGTTTTGTCTTGTTTGACCATGTTTGACCTTTGATCTGTCGGAGCAGACTTGGCCAAGCTGAATCCAGCGCAGTATCAGAGATTGTTGGTAAACAATTAATGACATGGAAACTGCCACACTACCAGAGGTGGTTGAGAAGATTTTGCCCGTCCCTTTCTATATATCTATGTTGGTTTGGAGGGTACCACAGTGCAGGCGTACGGATGGGACCTTCCCGCAGAATCTTGAAACACAAACTATCGGGGGTGAAGAACTGTGTAGGCGCATGATGTTGCATACTTGACCGCTTAGGATGCTGTGTGACTGTGAATCCGACCGGGAAAAGGATTGCCATCACCACACTGAGCACCTCCAATAAGCTCTAGCGACTTCTTAAAGTATGCCTTCTTTTGGCCCGCTCGGCCCTGCCTTCTGACTTAATTTGGATTAATTAAGTAGACGCCTGCTTAGTTACGTAAAGGCAAACTTGTACGCTCCTAGCTGGATGCAAGATAGCTCATGCTTCTGGGAGACCTTGAAGCGCTCGCACTATTCAGGAAATCCGAATGAGACACTTGGATCTTCGGCCAAAGAACCTAGAGAATCGGCTTCTCCTGCGCTTTTTGGAGAGAAACAGTGAAGAGACACTCCCAAGAACGTGTTTTGCATGTGGCTACTCAGCATGCTCTGTGCAAATCAACATCTTGGCATACGGCTTACCCCGTGGTTCCATCATGCTGCAGGTCCGCGTGCCTGTAGGACATAAACGCCTAGGGACAGTTGCGGGCAAAAGCCGCCTTTGGAGGGAAGCCGTTTCCGAACAGCACAAGTGCAACCTGCTGGTATCTTTAGTGTCAATACATGCTGTGTGCTCTGACGTGCTGTGTGCAGATTATCATGCTGCAAGGAGTTGCATACAGAAGGTACATGACTGGAAGGTTAAAGCGAAGACATACTGCATGTTGCAGCAGCAAAGAAACTATATCATAATTGCAGATTTCAAGCCTTGGCCTTGGCCCTCGTACGGCATAAATGAACATATACCATAGTCAGCAGCACATGAAGACTTAGGGACAGCCGAAGGAATCCCTGTGT